ATCGTTTGTCCTAACTTGCTTCGTTTTCTAGATACAGGGTGTATTGCGTTATCCTAAAAAAAGAAAAAAAAATCAAAAAGTGCATGTTAGTAGCAGCAACGGAGTAGAGATTTATAACGTCCAAATATAAGGCTAGTTATATACAAAATCTGTTCCATACGTTTTTTTACGTTTTTTTTAAAGCTTGCTTAAAGTTTGATACTTTTATTTTATACTTTCTGAGCTACGATAGGTTTAAATTTTTTGTAAATCTAGGGCGATGAACTCATACGATTTCTGTTATCTATTTTTAATACACTTACTTTCACTTACAGCAAACATAGCAAAATAAAACTTATATAAATGCTATTAAAGAAACAATCTCCTACTAAAGTGACAGCGAAAAACGTTCAACACTTAATGCTTTATCGAGTAATTTTATTATAGAGATATAAACAAATTTTTGTGACCTGGAGGCATTCCTGGTAATTTTTTGCTTTGTTTTAATAAGTACGGATATTTTACTACTAAAATAACACATTTTTTAAATTCGAATTTAAATTTGGATTTTCGTATTTTTGTCCATGGGCCGCAACACTATGCGACGAGCTGCAGCTGATATTGGCCAAAAGACTACCTTTATGAACTTCTGGTCCTGTATTTATATGCAAAATGTTGCCACTACTCTCGAAGAATCTATTGTCCACATCCGTTTTTAGGATGACTACGTGCGTCTTAATTGGAGAATTTTTTCTAAAATGGATTTTTTTTGACTGATCTCTCACGGAGGCCAACGTTTGACGGTTCCTGGGATTTTCTCTCAGCGTGTGACGAATTTTTACTTATTGGACTTTGCAGATTACAAAGGAAGCTTGACCTTGTATGTAATTAATTATTTTTAATTATTTATACCTATTTGCAAAAATATCGGTTCACCACATCACTCCCTATCGCACAAGACGAAATTATGTTTTATTCATTAAGTTCATTTTGACTAGAGACTGAAGTGCGACAACAGTATTTGGTTGTTTAGATAAAATATAGGTCACAGAGTCATACCAGCGTATTGAAGAAAAATATTCTTTTTTTTTATGTTGATGAGAGTGGTTTACATGGGTTGAAGTAAGGGGTTTCTAAATTAAAACATCAGCGTTGTTAAACATTTATTTCAGTAGAAGTGTAATCAAGATAAAACACTCCAAGATAATATGAACATATAATACATTAATAAAATACAAGATAAAAAAACTTAAAATTACATAAACAAAATTTCCAATATGCCAATATGCCTTACGTTAACAAATATGATTGTTATATTTTTCTTTTTTGTTAAGTTCCACACTTATTTGGAACGAGTCATTGACGCTCCTCGAATTTTTTTCGATTTTATATTTTTTAAGCCATATAAGTTACAAACAAATTGTCGTGTATTTTCGAAAACGTCACTTCTATTGTTATCTTTTATGTATCCGAGATCTATAAAAGCATGTTGAAAATTGCCGTTTTGTTGAATCAATTGCAGAGGCCTTTTTTTAACTTTTTTGTAAAATGCTGGATTAAAAGCGCACTCAGTGAAAGCGTGCAGTCCTGGGCCCGTATTCTGTAACTTTGAAAACGCTAAGCGCTTTTAGACGTTCAGCGTATATGACGTTAATTTTCGTTGAGCGCGCACTTAACTAACGATTTCGGTATTCTCGTCTGACGCGCTTGGCGCCTTTACTGATTGCGCTGAGCGCTTTGAAAACGGTTGCCTTAAAAGATCCTTTTGCTTGTCGAACTGTCAGTGAAAATCTAAAAAATTGTGATTTTGTGCGTTATCTTGCTCTTTAGTGAAAATTACTACTTCTTCTATTAATTCCTCAATAAGTAATTGATAATTTACGACTTGGCAGCTATAAATATTGTTCAAAACATCGAAAATGCTGAGAAGCGTCTTTAACACTTCCCTCGTATAATAAGAATAATGACATATCCATAGAAAAATAGCTTGACATAACTCAACAATAGGTTATGAAATTCACGTAACATTGACATTTTTCATTGTTACATCCGTCAGTTATCAACTTTTGACTATTACCTACATTAGAAATTGTGATGTTGTCAACATGTGCTCAACGCGTATTCAGAACACGATTCGCATGGCAACGAGAATACCAAAATCGACTGCCTTGCGTTTCGCTGATCGAATACTTGCGCTCACCGCTTTGAAAGCGTAACGTTTTTATGTCAAAGTTACAGAATACGGGCCCTGGTTTGGTACAAACACAACTTCCTAATTTTTCAAATAATTTGTTAACATCTATCATTCTTTGGTGGTTTCCAGTTCCAACCTCGATCCAAATATTTGACGAACTCAATAAATCTTGCATATTTCCCTACATTATTACAAGTATACCTGGTCAAGGTATTACAAAATCAAGCAAACAATTTAAATAGAAATTAATATTATCAGTTGTTTTAGAACATTTATAAACGAGTAAAATAAGGTGTAGTTTGACCTGGTTGTGTTTCCAATGCATTATTTGGTGGAAAATATGGCATTACAGATGTTGACTGCGCTGTAGATATGTCCAATAAATTATTTGGTGGACATCGTGGCATTACAGATGTTGACTGCGCTGTAAATAATTCATAATGAGCAGTCGAAACATTTTTTGCATAACGAGAACCCAAATTAGGTGGATCAACTGTAAAGCCTAGGCTTCTTTGTTGTGACTTTTCTGTTAAGGTTTGCAATTCACCGGAATTTACTATTTGAAATAACTTATTTTTAACTTGGGCTTGCAAGCGCGACCAAAATGTTTTTGTGGACGCGGTGATGCTTGGGGATGGAATGGATGGCGAATTGTTTTGCGAAGAGTTTGAACATCAAGAGATTCAGTACTGTCTACTTCTTCTCTCTCTTCGTTGTCGGACTCGATTGATTCAACATTGTAACGCTCTACAACAATAAAATTAAATTCAATAAACTAATGTCTTGCCAACTCTAATATTTTCCAGTGTTGGAACTGTAGCGGCCGCCAGCTTTTCTACAGTGGAGACGGGTCGGGGTGAGGTGTAAGTTTTGAGCGCCACGTGATTACGCTACCAATCAGCATAAAAAAAAGAATACTTCTACACTTACTCTAATCACGAATAGTAAGTGTCTAAATAATATTAGAAGCCAACAACAACAGGTTCAATAAAACTTCTAATTTAGACAATTATGATTTATTTTAAACTATTAAAAATGATTTATTTTAAACTATAAAAAAATATTGATAATCTTGAAAAATACTTAGCAAACGTAAGAGCTTGGAGAAACTATGAATAAAAAAAAATATACACATTAATGCAATTGTTGGTTCAATGCAAACGTTGGTTCACACAAGACGCAAATTAAACTAATTTCAATAAATCTCGCTAATTAGGGATATCTATCTCTATTTTAAGTATCTAATATCTACTAATTTTTCTCAAAGCAAAATAGTTATTTTCATGTAAATTAAATTAATCTTAATTTTGAAAGTTGTATAGAACAAAAAAGTAACAGATAAAACGTTAAAAATTTGCGGTTTGTTGGCTATGGTTCCCAGGGTGGTTAGGGCACGTGGTGATCCAGAGGTCGTCCCGATCCAAGGTCTCTGCTGTCAGGGTTGCAACAACAGCAAGGGTAACTGGATAATTGTCGAAACCCACGAGGTCCAAAAAGAAAACCAATCAAAACGGAAGACTTCCATAAAACTTCCAAAAAAAAATGGAAAATCGGGGAAAGAAAAAACCCTATAAAAGATTTCCAGAATTAAATCCTGAGAAAATAAGGAGAAAAATATAAGCTACTTTACCTCGATGTTGGTGAGGGTTAATAATAGTAGTCTTATTCTGCGTTGAAAAAGTCTTGTACGGCTGAGGGCTAAATTACTCCCACAAAGTGGCGTGGAGAGCCGGTTCCAAATTCGCTAATAATACGACTCTACTCCACAAGTTATCTTCTGATTATTTGAACATCAGAAAGAGAAGGAGTCATCCACCAATCCACAAGGAGACATCCAGAACAAATCAGAAGGTCAGGCACCCGCACTACCGACAAAATTAAGCAGAAAAATGGATGCTTTCTGAACTTTAGCGAGACGTGTTAGACCCGGAAGAAGATTTTTTTTCTACCCTTACTCTGAAGAATTTGAGCCAATAGGAATATACAACAATTCATTTGAAATTAACAGTCAACTGGTACTTTCCGGTACTGAGTAGTATGCAAGTACCATAGTAAAGAATCATATATTTTATATATGACAAGACCTAAGTTTCCTTAAATACTTAATGAAGATTGACAATCAGTGAAAGAGAAAAACACTTGATGAAAGCTGGAATTTATTTTAACAGAAGAATGTAACCAAAATAATTAATAAATAATTAGTTAATAATTATAAAAATTTAAACAATTAACGCTAGCTTCACTGCCAACCATATTTACTAGTAACAGCGCCGTCTCCAACACCGAGTCAAGACGTTAAAGCGCACTCTCAAGCAATTTACTTTAAAATGTCAAGATTTGCAAATATGTTTAAAAACAAATACACATAAAACCTAAATACCCATATTTATATTAAATCAAACCAATTATTACTTAAATCATAATTATCTAAAAATATATTATATTTCATACTATAAGAAGATTCACGACAGATATAATTATTTACAACCAGAAGGTAAGTGTAAAAACACCGGTTTATTTATAGCTTTAAATTTATAACAATAACAAACATTTTAGGAATTATTTACTGATCGAATAAAAATATACTTATACGATATAATATTTCTAACTGTATTTAAAAAAGGGAAGATATCCAGGAAAAATCAGCTTGAATATATATTTTAAACTTATAAAGGTAAAATTAGAAAAAATTTTTCGTTATAAATATTTTCCACTATACTTCAAAACCATGTATTTTTCTTCAACATAATATCTAAACGAAGCTACTAATTATCAGGTATAGTAATTATTTTTTTTTAAGAAAATAGAGTGAATGTTATTTCTTTTCTTTTCAAATAAAAATTTATTTCATAATAACAATAATTAAATTTATAGAAAGTAACTCATATTTTATTTCTTTTTAACAGCTAGAAGTACAAAATATATCAAAGAAACCCTATTGAAAATATAAATACATATAATGAATAGAACCAAATGATAAACAAGTGAGTATGCTCATAAACAAGCTGAGTATCTCATGCTCTTAAGGAACTGTAGAAAATGACTGCCTACTGAATTTTCTTATAAAATTTTTGACTCGTAACAACATCAGTTTGTTCTGTGACCTGCTCTTCGACGATGTTTGTATGGTGTCTGGAAATAAAATCGGTATAATTTCATATAAATGAAAAAAAAACATCCCTACTGTCTGCCTTTTATATATGGCTGAAGAAATGACATCGTTTCCCATTTTTTAATATTTTTCGCAGCTTGACTACTCTTGGTTACGTTTTTGTTTGCTCGTTGAAAGCCATACCATAAGCTTTTCCATTTTTTTAGCAAGTGTCGGCTAAAAAGAAATACCTATTTAATTAAAATCTGTTATTCGACACCAAAATAGCAAAATGGGGATCACTTAAAGTTTTCGTAAAATTACAGCAGTTTGTGTTTCACCCTGTATCTTAAAGCAGGTATGTTAAATTTTGTCATCAATTAAAAATTAGGATACCAGAGGATAGGTTTAAATCCTATCCAAATTTCAGCAAAATCGGCCCTCTTGTTATTGAGAAACGAACTTTTAAAAATGATCCAAAATTTAAGGTGTTTGACTTGAACAAGTGACGCGCAGTTATAACGCGCAAAAAAATATATTGACAAACTTCTTATACGTTTAACGGTAATTTATCGATTTACTTTATATTTCTTTTCTTCTTTGTAGTCGGCTTTCTGGTTTCTATTTTTTAATCTACTTTTTTTCTTTTTGAAAACGGCTTACAGTATTGTTCTAGTTTTGTAAATATTGACTGTTTAATAAAGCAAAAACTTGCTGTGGTTATAATTTCTTATTTCCGAGCTTATTTCTATACCTTTACCTCTTAGCACGATATTTAGTTACAATTCCTAAAAAACGATTTTCATGTGACTTTAATTGCAACACAAAATTCAGTTTAGTTACCTATATTATTAAAACTAACTTACCATTTTCTCCAATTAATCAAATAATTCATCATATTCCCTAACTAATAATATCAATTGTTCGATTTTCCTATCGTCCATCCGGGCCATTGTTTGGCGACTAGTATAAACTGAAAATATCATATTATTAGCACTCCCCTCCACGTCTATTTGTCGCATCTGGATTCACATTTCTGCTTGATCGAGCCAACGCTGCACTTCAAGTGCGCGAAAGAAAGCCCACCGACAATTGAAGACATCAAGCCGGTTGAAGTCGAGCGAGGCGTAGCGCAAATGAGAACTGCTACGTAAGAAAACACAAAGACTTTTTAAATGCGACATTTTGACGCTCGATGAAGTCAAGCCTAGTAAAGCACGATGAAGCGTATATGAGAACCGGCCTTAATAGTGATACGAGTCTGCCAGCTTCGTAATAAAGCTTTTCTTTTAGGCTGTTGTTATGCAGTGAAATATTTTTCTTCATTGATCCAATAAAAAGCTGGCTATTTTGAAGAAAACTTAAAACTAATCTAAATTATTCCTTTGTCGGTCCTCCTTCATCAACTGCTCCTTCAGCGACATCCTCACAACCACTAAATTTTACTGATATTTCGTTAAATGGCCCAAAGGTTTTCCGTCGCATAGCTCTGATACTTAAATAGATCGGTACGGAAAATATTAAATTTGTTCATACTGTCATACTCAATTTTATTTTGCAATTTGGTTAGTATATCAATTTGAGTATGAAGCGTTCCATCACTGTCTTCGATTTGTTCTGATACATTTGGCACCTCCAAATTTTTAACAAGAGATGAAGCATTTTCTGAGCCTTCTAATATATTATTTAACAGCATATTCATATCTCATTTTCATATTGACGTAAATTTTCTAAAAGGGATTGCTTTCTGCTCGAGATTGATCATTCCGTCCGAGATCGTAATTTACAAAATTGCCGTAATGCTAGGCGATCTCCAAATTTTGGAACAAATTCTGCCAGTCGCATATCATCCATTAACAGAATTATTGTTGTTTCAATCTGAAATAATAACACCTACCTATACACGCTTATTTCATGAACCCTAGAGTATAGTGACAAAACATTCAATTCTAAGAAGGATCCGCAAAACCATTATTGTATCGATTTACTTGCTTTTTTGTTACGTAAATAAGTATTTGTAAGGTAGTGGGGGTATATATGGCCCACCTAAGCAAAATTTTATTTAAAAAAATATAAACTGAACTTACATATCTTTAGCATGTACTTTGTACTTCCAAGTTACATATTTGGTTTAAGTGTTATGTGAAACAAAATATTTTTTTTTAAACATCATTTCATCTGGCCATATTATCCGTCTATGGTGGTTAATACCCTACCATAATAAATCATCTTAAAACTAAGTGAAAATATCATTTAAAACAAACTAAAATAAAATCAAAACTCTTACTTAGTAGATATTTAAAACTAAAGGAAAATATAAGAAAAACAAAGTGTGGCCATATTATCCTAATTACTAAATTGCACAAAAAAACAACAAACAAAAGCAAGTCTTTAGGAACAGTTTGGGCACCCAGAATCATCTTCATCATCTGCTGTTAGTCCGACACATTCTTCATGGTAGTATGTCAGACACACGTTGGAGCACAACCGCATGTCCATCTGTTGGTCGGTATCACATATCGAACAATACCAGGACTCTACTGGCTTTGAAAGCGATGGTTTTGATTGTCGTGATGTGGAAGGCTGGCAATCGGATTCATTAAAAAGGTATTTGGTTACCTTTTGAGCTTTATAATTAATAACCTTACGGCAGTTAACTCTTTTAGTGACTCGTTTGGTACCGTCAGGTGTAGGCAAAAGTTCCTTAATCGATTCATCTAGATCTAATGGTTTTGATGGACTTTTATGAGCATCAGGGATGTTTGGTTGTCGCTTATGAGTTTCAAGGATGTTTGAGAGAGTATTTTCTTCTTTCTTCGTTTAGGCTGGCCAGTGGAATTTCATCCTCCGAAAAGTAATCGGAATTTTGAGGTTCGTTTAAGTTTACAGGGACATCTTGACGTCGCTCTGATAATTGGCGGAGCAAAAGCACAATCTGGTATCGCTGATTTTAAATATTACCTTATCGCTGAATTGAAAAATTGAACCCAGTAGCTCAAAACTAAATTCATTTATAATATTTTCGGGAGTCTTGCACTTGGGATAAACTTGAGATAAAATAATATTAAAACGTGTTTTCGTTAAATCTATCTGGGTTCACATCCCAATATTTCAGCAACTCTGTATCCCAATGAGATTCGAATGCTTTATAAACGATTTATCTAGGGGCTGTAATTCGTGGGTTGTGTTACAGGGTAGGCAGAATAAGGTAATATTTAAATTATCGACAGCTTCTACAATACTTAAATTTAAGTGGCTTGAGGCACCATCAAATATTAACAAAACAGGGCCGGCTACTTTATGTTTTGCTAAATGATGTAAAAATCCAATAAAAAGGTCAGTTACCATACTGCCCTTTGGAGCCATTTTTACCAAGGTACAAGGAAGCCCGTTGTCACAATATTCCGATTTCAGACACTTATCCTTAAATATGACTATTGGCGGTAATGTGTTTCCAATTGCGTTTGCACATCCAACAACTGTGACATTTTCAGCATGCTCTGGTGCTATAAGGTGAACTCGTTTACTTCCTTTAAGTGCAAGCACAGTTTGCTGGCGATGGATTGTAAGGCGACACCCTTTTTCGTCCATATAAGTCGATAAAGTCTACATAAATTATTCGATTGGTCGAGTTAAAAAAAATTGATCATGATCCTCCAGCGCTGCCGTAAATAATTTATAAAACTTCAATAATAATAAGACCATGAAATTAATTTCATGTTATATTTAAATATTGTATTTAGCAACAGTCTTATGTTTTCTTAGCCTACAATAACAAAAACTCATTGATGATGATTTGTACCATCAAATATTTCGGTAGTAGCTGAAGTTAAGGTATAACTCGGCAATAATTAGGTTTTAATTCGGTTTTTGTAGATTTAATAGGGAAAACGTATCTTACCTGGCTACTACATTTCTGACAGAAGTAAACGAAACTCCTCAATAAATATACAAGCCACATGTGACAGTAGAGAAATGTTTACCAACTTATATGCAACATGGCCTGGATCTGTCCATAGTTCTAGAATTTGGTACAATTCTTCCACTTATCCTGTTATGTATAACAATCCAGAAAGGGTATGTCTTTTGTGTGGTTCCGGATATGCTGTAACTCCGTGGATGCTCACACCGTTCCAAAATCCGACAACAAATAGTGAAAAATATTTCAATAAAATACATGCAAAAGAACGTGTTATTATAGAAAGATGCTTTGGGCAGTTGAAAAGAAGATTCCCAATGTTAAACTATACAGTACGACTTAAAACTAACAGAATATGTCGATATATTATGTGTGGATTTATTTTACGTAATTGTGCGTAAAAGTCGTTGAATGATCCACTTGAACAGTTTGAAGAAATGGATGTCGAAGAACTGAACTAAATAACGCTGATATAAGACGTCGAGGTATTCAGGTTCGTAATGAGATTGCGGAATTGATGTACAGGGTTATCATTTTAGTTTGACCCACTTTTAAAAGCTTATAACTTTTTTGTTTGTTGTGTTAAAGCATTCATTCAAAAAACATATTGTAGAAGTTTCAGACAAGTTTTTGCGAGTGTTGTCAAAAATGACAGTAGGTGTTACATGTCAGATTTTTAAAACTAAAAAAAACTTTTTAAATGGGACACCCTGTATATTAGTAGCGCATTAGATAGTCCTCTTTTCTCCGAATTCAGAAATGTATCACATATTTGCATTCTTCTTCTTAATTTCATTGAAGATTGACAAAAGCATGCAAAAACAATTAATTAAAAGAATAAAAAAGTTATAAGCTTTTAAAAGTGGGCCAAACTAAAATGATAACCCTGTATAGACAACGTTGAAATAATAAAGAAATAATCTAATATTTTTTGTTTTTTATTTTCCAGGAAAACTTATAATATAATTAAAATTAAAAGTAATTGGAATAGAAACGCAAACCCCAAACATTTTTTTATGAAAACCAACTAAAAGTTTAATGAGAATAATAGATACACCAATTTCCCATTTTTTTCAACCATCAAAGTGTCGTGCAAAGTAATTTACTATAAATGGTTCTAAAGCCCCTGCAGTTTTTTCCACAGATGTGGCAGCTTTGTCCTGAGCTATAGCAGCCTTTTCTTGAGCTATAGCCTCATTTATTTGTTTCAGAACTAAAGTTTTTTGCAATTATTGTTCAATCGATTGGTTGGCGTCACTAAAATCCTCTTCCTCAAAAAATCGATCGGCATTTGCATCTCGACTGGTGCCTGCATTTACCCCACCTAAAGATATGAGTAATTTAAAGTGATTATTACTACGCGTACAGGGTGGGCAAATTTAGTATTTTTATGGAATTAATTTAAATAAAAAAGCGTGTATACCTGGGACTCTTTGTATTAGTGGATTCTCATTTCCGTTGCATAGGTCATAAAATTTTTGTTGCCATTCATTTAATTTAATCTTCTTAGTTCCTGTTCTTTTCATATCCGTTATTTTCTTTATTTTGCTTTTCATGTTATTATTTTTTTTAGTATTTGCTTACTGTCCAACTTTTGTATTATTGTTATAATCTTCCATTTGGGACTCTTCTTCTTGAGGCATTTCTTCATCTGAAGACATTTTTGTCTAACCGAACGTCGGATAATACACCACTTCTACTTCAACAATTTTACTGAAGGCAATGGTAAAACCAAATGATCAAGACAGTACGTACATTGAGTGTGCAGTGTCCGGAAGGGGGAATTTTACATTTTAAACGAGTTATTTTGGGATTCCTTATCACAAATGTAAACATTAACCTAAACTTTACGTGCATAGCTGTTTAAACCTTTCTACGAATATTACCGATTTGAAAAATAAACAAAGCAGATAGGCCGAGAAGATGCTACAAAAATGTTGAAGAATATACTGTAGACTAAAAGTAAATAATTTAATCAGTGTAGTAAATACTCCGACGTCAAGCAAGTTCTACCTGAACCGACCAAATGCTTCATGATGAAGAAAATACTTCTAAGTAGATCCTTAAATTTTTAGTATTAGCATGTACTTCATTTTTATTCATACCACTCATTTAGTGGTATTAATAAAAATCAGTAGATACTTAATACTTACGGTTTCGTAAGTTAATACTGTAACTATCGAAACTTTGTCGTCTTCGGACATTTAAAGCAACGATTCCCTTTATTACAAAATACAATTAGACTGCCATTAAGAAAAGTGCCATCTATTATGATAGCATGTTGTGTTCTTCATAATATTGGAAAGTATTTAAAAGATGAAGAAGTGTTTGAGATTGAAGAAGGCTTACCTTTAGACGATGACAACATCGAAGATGAAGCACCTGTTGGACGACTTGAACTTCGAAGGGAAGGTCAAGTCATACGTAACCGTTTAGCCACAATTATTTACGCCAATCAAAATAACTAACATAATTTTTATTAAATTGAAAATACATATATCTAATTATTACAACATACTATAAGTTTTCTCTCCTTCTCTTAGAACGTGATCTTTATTTAATTCTTTCTCCAGTTTTGCCTTTTTAAGATTTAGAACATGTAGTTACTTCAAAAGCACCAATCTTTGTAGCTCCGTCGTGCTTAACGTACGTGTTTCCTCCGTTTCGTATTGTTCTATAATTTTTGTCGCTTTGGACGTGCAGGTAACGATGGTGGCAGTGTTGAAGCGACTGACGGACAAAAATTATAGAACCATGAACTGTTCATCAGAAGGATTCCGACTGCAACATGTCCTGAAACGAAATATTACACTAGCTACCTTATATGTAATAAAAATATAATTATTTTATCAGGTATTTTGAAAAGAACAGGATTGCACTCCTCTTGATCCCCTTGTAGTGCCGTGTACATGAGTTTGCTGCACTTAGATTTTTCTTTTTATTCCCAGTTATGTTGGCATGAGTTTTTTTACTACCGCCTTCAGGATATTATTTTTTTTAATAATTTTTTGGAGTTTGTTGGTTTTCCAAATTTATCTACAATGCTTTCATAGTTAGCTTACAACATTTTATAATAAGACATGATAACTTACTCTCATAATGTTGTTTAAGAGTGGCTAAGACGTCTTGTTTTTTATTAATTTATCTCCGGAGTTTTCCCTTTATTTAAAATAATAGGGTTATCCCTCAAATATTTGGCCACAAATGTTACATCCGACTCTTTACTTTTTGAAACACTCTCATTGCCACTATCTTCACTTTCGGACGAAACGAACGACATGCTGGTTGTCGATAAATAAATGTAGAAAAGTAAATATTTTGAGGATTGTATACATCTCAAGTGTAAACTGATTTAAAAAAGTGTTGACGTGCGTTTCTTGTATGTTTTCCTTTTAATCAAATTCCGAGTAAATAAGAAAATACTTAAGAATAATCAGTAAACACTTCTAAGTATCAGCGTCTATTTTTTAATATACATTTCAGTATTTACTTAATGCTGATGGTGATACTTATAAGTAAGTACTTATAAGTAAATACTTATGGGTGGTATTAATAAAAAAAGACAAGCAAATTCTTATACTACTAATTTAAGAAGTAGATACTTTTAATTGTATTAATAAAATTTAAGAAGATGGTAATGCTACTAGTACTTGATACTAAGGATTAGCATCTTCTAACGCTTACTTCGAAGTATCAGGATATCCTTAAAAAAGTATTAATAACAACCAGTAGATACTTTTACAAATAAGTATCTCGTAGAAAAATTATAAGTTTATGGTTCCTCATATTTTTTTTAATTTTATTATAATTTAGTGATTATTTGATAGCATATCAAGTAGCAGTTTTTGGCAATCTTTAAAATGTTTTACGGATCCGAGCGTCAAAACTTTTTAAACCGCATCGCGAAAATCCTCTGAACGTGACTTGAACACTGACAATTTTTTACCACACTGAAATCTTACATTTGTTTAAAAAAATTGAAATATTACAAAAACTATTAATTTAAGGGATTTTATATTATAATTATTATATAAATAAGTTATAGGATTTAACGCATAATCTTAAAATAAAATATAGATTTTTTAAACCTCGAAACGAATGAGATAATGGACTTTATTCTTGACTCACCCTGAATATTTAAAACAAATACTGATATTTGGGGAAAATTAAATAGCTGGACTAACTATTCATGCAAACAATATTTTTTGCTTAATAACATTTCATTTCGCTCTTTCAATATAATATTTCTTTCTTCCGTAGCTTTACATTTCCTTTTTACATTTCCAGCTTTTCCTTTTGTAACAATAACCGGGCTTCATGATATGACCTTCTATGTTTACTACCGGAGTCCTTTTTCGCTTTAAATTTGCCGCGTCCTTTTTCTAATTCGAAGTTCAATATAAAACACAAGTTTACTTAATCGGGATGAGTTGCATAGAGGGCGCTAGCTTTTAATTTTAACAGCCGGGTGGTCGGGGTTCAAAGATCTTAATATAAGGGCGCCACGAGATTATACTCTATGAACTCGGCATAAAATATGTTACTATTAAGTAGACTTCAACACTAACCTCGAACTGTTGAGTGTAACTACCATGAACTCCAAATATTACTATAATTACTTGAACTTAAGTGACTCTAACCTAACTATGAGACCAGAGTGCAAATAATACTACTAAAAATATTTAAGCAATTTATTGAAATATCAAAAAGGTTAAATGTATAAAGAGAATGATGAAATGTATGTGAAATGAAGTAAAGTTTAAATCGATAAGAATAAATGAAAAGTGAAAATGGTCTAAGCTATACTAAAACTAAGACGTCATCCCCCTTAACTTAAACTAAGTATACTCTAAGGGCGGAATACAAATAGCTAATCTAAACCTAAACTAAAATTGTACAGTCTTACTCGATGTATGTATATAGGGTAATTCCGGGGAAGATGGACCACATTTTTAATTTTGACCATATCTGGCCTAAAAACAGCTTTATTAATAGAAAAAATACAATAACAACCAAAACAACGTATTCTAATAATAAACAGGAACTTAAACTCATTTACCTTTAAAGGATTTTAAAATATATGTATATATAAAAAAACACCATGTAGTCCAACTATCCCAGAGGATGAGGTTTAGTTGAACAACCATGTATGGAACAGATGAACCACAAGGGGTAACATGAACCTCAATAAAAAGTATAGAAACCACATTCTTAAATGTAATAATGTTACAAAAAATATATTGCTATTATATTAATAAACAGTAACAGCCTTTTTTCCACACCGATCACACAAATTTTCGTATTTTAGACATGACTCGTGCAGCCATCGAGTGCATACAATGCATTAAACCCAGTAGTCGGTTTTTGTTGTGATATTGTAATTTTCACCACAACTAGCGCAGTTATTTTCTTCCCAATCTTCAAAGCCATCGCTCTCATCGTGTAAAGACACATTACCCTCTGACTCAGAAGTCCTGGTTAACGATTCTCTTTCCTTACTTGGTCTAAGCCTAAGCTTTGCACTTTTCGATGATTGCGTTGTTATTTTCTTATGTAATTTGCTTTTCTGTTCAGTCGCGTTCTTTTTTTTTTGGTTTTTCCGTTTCATCAACATTAAAAATATTGCCCGGTTTATTAAAGAGCTGATTTTCTTCAAGAATACTTTCTAACAATTGAAAGTAGTTTTCTACGATTTCGTGGCACAAAGCAGTTTTACGGTTTATTGACACCCTTTCAGCTACTCTAACGCTAAGATCAGGATGTCGATTTAAGAAAAGGTTAGGCCAATCACAGCCCGCTAGTTTGGTGGACGTGTCAAAACGATGCTTGATTTTTAATTGCTCAACAAGCAAAAGCTATCTGACGTACATCAAGTCTTGTTGGAGCAAATCCAAACTTTTGGAGTTTTTTCATGTGGGCTACTAATTTTACCTCAGTTGCATCCCAAAGTCGATGAGGGACTTAACGATCCGGTTTTTTTTAAATTTCCAGACTTACGTCGTCTAAGTAAAGTAGCCTTTGGAACATTAAAGTGCCTGGCGGCAGCGTTTACACCCATCGTTCCTGAATTAATTGCCGTTATGGCATTATTTAGGTCATTTTCTGACCACGAGGCCCTTTCTGCACTTAGCTTCCGTTTGTATCTAGTCGGCATTCTGAAAAAACAAAATTATACCGGTTTATGTGTGTGCGGTCCATCTATCCCAAATTTCGGGGATAGATGGACCACACAATAACTAATAATAAAATTTAGTTACACATTTCAAGGCTTACACTACTTAAACTAGTAAAAAGGGACACCAAACATATATTTAGCAAAAATTTTTAAAGAAATACTTACATTTAGACAAAATCGCTTCCTCAAAATCAGGTTCAAAAATTATAGCACGTCTTAAAATCGAAAAATTTATTTTGCAAATGCTGTAAATGCATCCTATACTTGCAACTGTTCAAGCGTCACTGAAACGTAACTTGGCTCACGTACACATTAAAACTAGCAGCCCCTAACGATTACCGTTGAAGTTACGCGACTGGTCCATCTCAGGCGGTGGTCCATCTCTCCCGGAATTACCCTACTTGAAACTACTCGAAGGTTCCTCCGGCTGAGCTACGGTGTATAGCTATGGGATGACTACAGCAGGGTACAGCAGCTCGGTGTACTGTCACTGGAGCCCGTCAGCAAATGTACAGATACCAGGCAGGTGCAGGACTTCAAAAGGTGACATAAAAACCCTAAATAATATTGGTTGTCTTAGAAAAGAGCCTCAATTATAGAACAAGGACAACGTGTAGAAGTTAATAAAGGTAATAAAGAAGGACTAATCAAGTCTGAACTTTACCTCAACGAGGGTTTATGATGTCCAACGGGTACCTCTACACGGACAACAGGAACGGATGGAATTCTGGACTGTTCTGTGCTCTACGGTCTGGATCGGTGTTCTTGCTCTACAATTACGAACAATCAAAAAGTCGAAAACCAGTCAACAATACGAACAAAAATCAGTTGAGCATTGACTTAGAATAGGCAGAAGAATTATAGCATACCTTGGAACTCTACTCGGGGACTTCTTGGTCACGTGGATTCGGAATATCGGTCGGAAAAAGGCTATTTTGATCCCATTACGGAAATTGGTCGGTGGTCCATACAAAATCAACAAAATCCAACCACGTCTCTGACCAAATGTGCTTCGGAAGACTTAGTTCTTCTCTAGGAAGACCTGCTAAATACCAACAGGGAATGCTTCACGAAACAAGTAGCCAGCTCTTCACGATGATACCCTCTCGGTGGATACACAAGAAGTCACGCCAGGATGGGATTTCCTTCACAAAACCAGATTTCAACCGGAAATCTCCCTCCAGAATATAGATAGAGAACAATATATCTACTCTAATCCAACTCACAAAGAGGCATAAATAAAAAACGATGTTCTAGAATATTTTCCACTGCCATATTCCATATCCGGTCAATGAACGAACTTAACTTAGAAATTTCACAATTAAAATGAACGAATTGCACACTGCGATCCACATCAAAAATAAACAATTTAACTAAGAAATTTTATCTGGTAATTATAAAATTTCAGTAACCAAAACAAAGGATAAATAAATCCAAATCTGATTTGATCTGACAGTGACAAGTGACGGACAGATGATATCAAAGATAAATAGAGCTCGACAAAAATGACCGCATCCGGTGACAATAATGTGTAGCTGTAGCTGTATAATATCGCGGTGTATATTCGGTTGCATAGTGGTAAAATACTAAATAAAATAATATTTAACAATAAAATTATAGTAAACATGATGCAAAAATAATAGTTATTTGCGATAATTTATGAGCCAGCACACAGAGGTCGTAGCGAGGAAATTTGACTGTTACAAATTGTCTTTTTTTCACTATGTATTTCACTATGTTGGAGTTTCTGGGCACCCCATAGTTTCTTCTGGATCATCATGAGGCATTTGATCCACAGATCCAGTTGAGATTAGCACTCTAGAAGTTACATTTCTTTGCCTTTGAATATATCCATTTCTTTCAGGTATCCAAAATACTTTTTCCTTCTCCTGTTTTATTCTGACTATCGATATGTTTTTTGTACGCTCTTTCCAGGACCCTCCATCTATTTTCTGTATGGCTTGCACTAAGGTTTGTTTTGCAAGAGATTCATCTCTTGTGCTAACATTTCCCACAACTTTTTCATTTTTTCTCAGCAGTACCAAACTTTGCAGACCAAATAACTGTCGTTATAGTATCAGTTCAACCTTACTATTTGCGTGGACGAAGACGGAAATACAAGGAATTCTGTAAGTCCTAAAAGAAACGAAAAACTAGTAATTTACTATGCTATCATTGAGAAGACAAATATGATATCAGTAATATTACTCAGTGAATAAGAAAAACTAATTTATTATTAAAATAAAAAGGTCTGAATTTACCTGGGTATACCCTTACCTCAATTATAGTTTCTGGTATCCATTTGATTTGATTAGTTTAATTTGTGGTTTAATAGACAGTTATATATAAAACGACTAGCGTGTACCAGCGGCTTCGTTCGCGTTGAATTAATCATTTGTAATGGTGATGATAAAGCAAAGCAAGAATTTCCATTGACATACAAACTGGATAAAATTTTCTCACATTTATATCAGCATGAGAAAAAACAATATGGCTATATTATTATATATGTAATTTTGAGGGGTAGTTTCATCTCGTTGGAATTTGACTTTCGAAAAATCCGTTTGCCAAAAATAAGCTTTTTACATCAAGCAGTTTAAGCAGAATCGTGGTTAAGAAATTACCCAACTTTTTGGAACACCCTGTATGATTTTTTAAAAAAATTCAAAATATGTAAAAAAAACAAATAAATTATGCTTGTCCAAGCGTTTTCCCGAAAGACTAACCGTTTTTTAAATAACAAATATTGTAATATTTGAGGGGCGTTTTCACCCTCTTGGAATTTGAGATTCGAGAAACCCCTCCTCATCGAACCTCTACACCCCACAGTCAATCCGTTTGCCAAAAATCAGCTTTAAACGTCAAGCAGTTTAAGCAGAATCGTGATTAATCAATTTACTTATAACCTAATCGAATCTAAAATGAAATCTAAGAATCTAAAGAATCCCTAAAGTCAATCTGTTTTCCAAAAATCAGCTTTTTACGTCAAGAGCTGTAAGCAGGATTGTGATTAATCAATAACCAGATTTTTCGAAACACCCTGTATACATTTTTAAAAAATCTTAAAATAAGTAAAAAAACAAAAAAAATATACGTGTTTTAGCGTTTTTTCGGAAACTTCTTCGGACCGTTTTTTAAATAAAAAATAAAATTGTAATATTTGAGGGGTGGTTTCACCCTCTTGGAACTGGAATTTCGAAAAATCCCTTCTTATGGAACCTCTACACCCTAGAATCAACCTGTATGCCAAAATTGAGCTTCTTACGTTGAGTGGTTTGAACAGGATCGTGATTAATCAGTATGTCAGTCACTTAAGGATTTTATATATTAGTATAGATATAGACCAAATCTAAGTATGGAACACCAAATATAAATGAAAACAAAAAATGTATTTATTTTTCGTTCACTTATTCTTTAAAAAAAGTAATTTCTCGTTCTGCTTCTATTCAATATGTCATAAGATATGACACGAGATGTTAGCTGCGACGCACGATCGGCACGATTTAGCGTTCGTACAAAATATTTGAAACAAATCAGAAATTTCAATATTTTACACAGCGCATTAATACTGGTTCGGAAACAATCAGAAACTTGTTTGGAATTTCCTGTGGAAGCAAACCCATAGTTTTCATTACTTTAATTTCTTTATATCGACTAAAATAGTCGATAATAACAAAGAAATATTCTCCACTGGGAAGAAATAAATCCCACAAATTCCACTGCGATATCGATCCACGGTCCAGTAGGGAGTTCTCTTCTTTTCATAGGATGTGGAGGGGTAGGTGCTGATACTAATCTGCAGCCCTTACAGGACTTAACAAGCTTCTCGGCATGTTCATATATTCTGGGCCACCAGACTCGTTCTTAGTCTACCTTGGATGGCCACTATATCTGGATGACCTCGTGAGTGGATTCCAGAACTCTGCTTAAGCTTTTGTGGAATTACAAGCCTTGTATCTCGTCATAAAATTCCCCCGCTTAAACAAAACACATTTCTAAATACTTCATAGTACTTAAGAAGAAGAATTATTCCACACCTAAGAAAATTAAACATAATAAGAAGAAGGTTAAATTATCTGTATTAAAATTTTATAAAGTAAGTTATTTAAACAAAATAGTTTCCTGTAATTTTAATTCAATAATTCAAGAAAGCCAGAAAATAGCAATCTGCCGTTTATTTTTTTCTTTGTTATTGTAAAATGTCAATTTTAAATTTCATAGTTTGCGTGGATGTATTTTAAGATTCAGGATTTTTAAAATTTTGTTCAAGATGTGTATTAAGTATTTGCTACTCTTGAAGAGCGATGTGAAATCATTTCTGACGTTAACATTATGCCATATGCTGAGGCCACACAACTATGCTAGATAAGCTATAGACGCTATGGACGCTAAGTATCCGATGTTCGCTAAGTTCAGCGGTCACATGGAAAGCTACATACTTGATTATAATCTTTTGCGTTTTCGCATTTTAAAAATCAGTCTAGGTCCAGTTGTATTTCACGATGTTACCAAGCACAGTGCCATTTCGGTGAATTTCATCATCTCGTAGTTCAGTTGCGAGAAGATGCATCTAAGTTTAGAGAATATTTTCGAATGAGCCCGCAGCAGTTTGACCAATTGTTAGGCATTATTGAAAAGGATATTGAAAAGCAGAAACAAACTACCGAGAAAGGATTCCCGCTAGAAAGAGATTAGCTGTCTGCCTCAGGCAAGTAAAAAATACCTTAGTTTATTTACTTTTTTTGTTTTCTGGACATATAACATCATTTGAAAATATAACATCACTTTAAGTTGAAATATGTTTGTCCAACATTCTGATTTAACCATGGTTTTAGATTTACTCGGCATATTTGTACTCAGTGAGTGGTAAAAATGAATAACAATCGTAGAAGACGCGCTATAGATTTTTTTTAAAACAAACTCCCGATTAGCTTCAGGTATTGTTTTCCTACAATACTCAACCAACCTCTCATATGCTTTGTTTTTTAAACTTTTGTTCATGTACTCTTTGCATTTTACTTGCCACAAACATGGATAGCTTTGGTAAATGTTCATGAATCGGCAGACATTATTTTTAATTATTTGATCCAAATTCAAAACTCAACTCAGTACTAAGTTCGAAGACTTTATACGCGTCGCAAAATAGAGCCAAATATAATTTGACGGGTTTAAACCTGTGATTTCATCTGTGGGCGATAGTGCACGGCCCGATTCGACTTGGTTCGCCACATACACACGAAGTTTTATCCGCGTATTTGGCTCGTGCCATATCAAATTGGTTAAGTTATCCGCTGGTGTATGTGGGGCTATTGGTTGTTCGGACCGATCGGAATGTGGTGACACCACTGGTGTCTGTACCGCTTCTCATCTTTCTGCTTTTATAATTGCATCCATTATCTTTTGTTTAACTCTGAGCTGCAGATAGCGTGGTAGGTTTTTGGTGCTCTCGCACGCACTTGCAAAAAATTAATCGAGCTCCCCATTTTTGTTTTTATTGCTCTCTTTCTTACCTAGAAATGTTATAACTTTTTGAACTCCATCATCTCCTTTGTGAATGTTCCTTTTGTTACTTTTTAAAATTTGTTATAACGCGGACTTTGGTTGTTTAATGTAGTTAGACTGGTCATTTTCTAACGCATTTTCTTCCTCTTCATGCTGCCCATGGGTGTCATCATCAGCTTCGATTGGTTCTACATTGTCCGAGTTTTCATCGTCAGGATCACGAACGTTGCTGTAAAAATATAAATTTATTGCACGTTTTATTTGCTATTTTTAATTTACCTTCTTGGCATCCGATGCAAGAAAATACATCAACTCTTCGTACTTCCAAGGTTTTGTTTTTGTTGTAGATTGTCCCCACTGTTCGTTTTTCTTCTTAACATGGCTTGTCTGTAACATTCTTGCAGTTTTTTCCACTCACGTTTCATGTCATCTACAGTAATTTTTGTTTTATTAGCTATTTATTAATAGAAAAATCTGAATTAACAATAAATAAAAGGAGTCATTTCATATCAATTTTTCTCTATCCTTAGCCTAAATTTAAAACTAAATACTATTCAGTTTGCCATTTTTGTTTTTCATTCCTTTAAATATTTTTAATGCCTTTCACTATTTCTCTAATACTTTAAATCCCATTAAATATTTGTAGTACCACATGTTACAAATAAATACTTTGTGAAAACTTTTCAATACCTTTAAATGAAGAAATAAATAATTATCGCGTACACTTGTATATGGTTTTGCGCACCCCTCGACAAATAGGTACCGTCGAATAAAAATTTGTTTAATTTATTATTGCTTTTCTTTGTTGTAGGTACCTTGCAACTGGGAATTCGTTTCAGTCAATGGCTTTCACATATCGCATGGGCAGAGCGACTGTAAGCAACATTGTCGAAAATGTGTGTGATGCCATTTGGAAAAATCTTCAGCCTATAGTTATGCCGGAACCTAGTGCAGATATTTGGAAAGCATCTGAAAGTGTATTTCGAGAAAAGTGGAACTTCCTTCACTGCGTTGCTGCGACAGATGGCAAGCATGTCCGAATCAAAGCACAAGGCTCACAATTCTTAAACTACAAGAAGTACCACTCCATTCTTTTATTAGCACTTGTTGACGGCAATAAAAGATTCCTTTCTGTTGGCGTAGGGCAATATGGAAAAGTTAGTGATGGGAATGTTTTTATGAATAGCAGTATGGGAAAGCGCTTGGCAAGTAAAACTTTTCGATTACCTCCTGATGAAGATTTAGGTGGAGATTTGTTACCTTATGCAGAGGATATTACCGTGGCAGACGAAGCATTTCCGCTTAAAAGATTTCTGATGCGTCCTTATCCAAGGTCCGCCCGAAGGCTTTCCGAGTCTGAAAGAATATTTAACAACAGACTTTTAAGAAGTAGAAACACAGTAGAAAACGCCTTTGGCATTCTTGCAAGTGTTTAGAGAATTTATCAAACACCACTGGAATGTCGCATTGATCTTGCTGAGAAAATAATTTTAGCAACTACAACAATCATTCTTCACAATTATATCCATGAGACAAGTACACAAGGTAAGCCTGGAGTTGTAAACGAAGAGGTACATGACAACCTCTTAGTGCCACTGCATGTAGCTGCTGCAACAAATGCAACAAAGGACGCAATTCAAATTCGGAATTTATTTACGAATTATTTTATGTCTAATGAGGGCCTAGTTCCATGGCAAGAAAGAGTAGTAAATCGTATAAACTAGATAAATTACAATATATGATATCTTACATTATACAGGGTGTTTCAAAACAAATGCGAAAAACTTCAGGGGCTGATTCCTTGTTCAAAATAAAGGGTAGTTTGCTTCATAAACGTTGGGTCAAAAGCCAACCATTAGGGAGATATCGCAGTACAAAGATGGCGGAAAAATAATGTTTTTATTTTTTATCTTGAAAACGAAAAGAGATAGACTAATGAAATTTTTTGGAAGCATTACTGTTATGAAAACACACTTTCTGGTAATTTTTTCACTTTTTTAAAATAAGTGGAAGGGGTTGAAATAAACTACCCTTATCATTCTTGTTAACGAAATTTAAAGAAAAATCTTATCAAATACATGCAAAAAAAAAAATTGGATAGTTTAGTTTGTTTAGACACTTTTTTATCTCTTGTGTTTTTTGGTAAAACTCACCGATTTGAAATTAAAAAATAAAATGTAAAGCATTACAATCATGTCAGGACAAAAAATTTTTGGATAAGGAATCTAGTAGGCTGCTGTCAAACAGTTTTATTTCGTAATAGTATCGTTACATTTTCTTCTGAACGATAACCTCTTGAAAATTATTTACCAAACAATTTTTAATTCTGTTTTTTAATTCATGAAAGTACAAAATAATAAAAAAAGTACATATTAAAAAATAAAAATGTTTTTTGTCCTGACATGGGGTAATGCTTTACATTTTATTTTTTAATTTCAAATCGGTGAGTTTTATCAAAAAAACACAAGAGATAAAAAAGTTTCTAAACAAACTAAACTATCCAAATTAATTTTTTTGCATGTGTTTGATAAGATTTTTCTTTAAATTTCGTTAACAAGTATAATAGGGGTAATTTATTTCAACCCCTTCCACTCATTTTAAAAAAGTGAGAAAATTACCAGAAAGTATGTTTTCATAACAGTAATGCTTCCATAAAATTTCATTAGTCCATCTCTTTTCGTTTTCAAGATCAAAAATTAAAACATTATTTTTTCGCCATCTTTGTACCGCGATATCTCCCTAATGATTGACTTTTTACCCAACGTTTATGAAGCAAACTACCCTTTATTTTGAACAAGGAATCGGCCCCTGAAGTTTTTCGCATTTGTTTTGAAACACCCTGTATATATATTATAACTTATCTGTTTTTTTCAATTCATTAAATATTCTTTCTCAGGCATTATATCGTATATTTTGATTTCTATAAGATTTCTGGCTTTTATTCCACAGACAATCGTGCTTCCGCACTTCTTCAATTAACAGTTCGAGGAACGCCATTTTCCTTCGACAGATCACACTACACTGAAGCAAAAATCACAGCGGCAGTCCTCGCGATGTGTTGAATATAGCCGAGAATAAAACATTGGGCGACGTGGCTTACATCGCGAACATAGCGTACCAGTGTCGGTGTGGCCGGGTACGTGTAAAATATCGATGGCTAATTTTGGAATGCATCGCGAACAAAGCGAACATAGCATACGTAGCGCTCTGTGTGGCCTCCACATAAGACTTGCTTTGTTTATAATTATGTGGGTAATTTAGTTAATTTCTTTTCTAGGTTGACGAAAACGGAAAAATTCACAGATTAAGGCGAGAATGCCCTGGGGAACAGTGTGGTGCTGGTATTTTCATCGCTGCCATGGAAGATCGCCATGACTGCGGTATCACTGCCATCACTGCAGATATTTTGCTTTAAGCTGCTTTTAATTATAAGTACTTCTTCAACTGTCTATGCGTATATATGTGCATTATGCGAAAACATCCCTTTTTGCAAGAAGCCGTTTAAAACTTCAGCAGATTTTAAGGACTAGGTTTGGATGGTTTTGCGATTCGCAACAAAACTTGGCAAAGAAGCAGAACTCGGTAAAGTGAACCATCATCGTTGATTGGTGTTCATTTTGCCGGGAAGTATGTAAACTTTTTCTTATTATAATCCATCAGTTGCAGGAGACCTAAACCGTTTCATCTAAAATACCACCGAGGACAATGGAGACCAGGACATTAGGTGTTTGGTGGTATAGAATAGGACAGTGGAAATGTTTTTGGTAAACGTTCCATATAGGTCTAATGATCAATTGGCACCGCTTATGTCCAGGTATTTTATGATTTTGTTTATTTGGGTAAAAGTAATAGAGATATTATCTGGATGGATAATTAAATAGTGATTACTGTGCTATTACGATCAAAGAGATCGTTTGGAAAGAAAGATCGTTGTCATTTTATCATCTTCATTTCAAAGCTATGCCCGATTTCAAAGCTATGTTCGTTCGTCGATGTCCGATGAACTTCTTATCCGATTCATTTGGAGAAATCAGGTAGGGAAGACAAATGTTTTTGGACATTTTTTCTTTTTTAATTATTTTTTCAATATAAAACAGCAATCTCCAGTTTAAGATTATATAAACTTTTGTTTTCAATATTTATTTCTTACTTTTTACTGTGTTCTTATAATGTCTAATGAGGATTGTTTTCCCTTTATTTAGCGAATATTGTCATATTACCTTGGTATACCTTAAGAGACCTATATTAATTTTCCCATGTTATCCATATATCCATAATTTTCCCACCCGCTATATCCATCTTTCCTCTCCTATTCCTTATATCAGTGGGAATTTTGTCGCCACTACGTGTTCTCACTAGACATACGGTTTTGTATGAACAAATAACAACTTAAAATTGGCAAACTTAGTTTTTAATATACATATTTGGTAGTTGTAATTTGTTTTAATGTATTTGACTGTTATAATATATGGTCTTATAATATTGTCTACCAGCTTATTTATAAATAAAAACAGTCAATTTTAATATGCTCATCCAATGTCGAAAGATTTGTTTCTAAGACAGATGTTTAACAGAGCCGCCAAAAACTGGTCCCGTGGGTCCGTTATGCACAATGATGGAGGAGGCCAGGAGAAGCCAGCAAAAGAGGGAAGCAAGACGAAAGGATCAGAAGCCTGGTGGAGGCGTTTAACAAAGCGCCCACCAGGCCATACCCCCTCCGTCTGGACCCCGGATCTTAATCAATTATCCAAGTGCGTTCGACTGGCCCCTACTTCCCTCCTAAACCGCCGCGCGCCGGCGCCGCACAGTTGTATAATCACAAACGTATAATCTTGCAAGTAAAAATTAATAATCAAGAAAAATTCTTGATTTCACCATTGTTTCTTAAAATGTATGCACTCTATTGCTTAAGGGAGTATGTATTTGATTAAATAATACGTTATGTACAGAGTGTTTTAATACAGGCTGCATTCATATAAGTAACTTTTTACTGATTTTTTATAAAACTAATGCTAGTCCGGTCAAGGTAGGAAGTCCCGTGCGTTTTATGAGGGGACCTTTTTTTATTGCTGATAGTAATATGTAACATCGTTTTAATTAATTTAAAAATGGGAGTCTCTTAAAAAAACGGTCGTTTGGCCGCCATCTTGAATTTCAGAAAAACATATATATTTGTGATATTAGGTTAACATACAGAGTGGTTAAAATAATAATATCATTAAAATAAAATATTCATCATCTGTGTCGCTGTCTTCCAGTGCTGAATCATCTACATATATTGTGTCATCTGCTTCTTCCTCCACCTTGTCATCAATATCGTTATCTTCTGTCTTGTCTACTAAATCAGTCGCCACCTGTTCTTTCACCTCATCACTACCTTGGTATAGAAACTTTTAGGCCGCCGTAGGTAGTGCAGGTTGCGTATGCATATGAGGCCGCAAACCTCCTTCGTCGGACTTTCACCCAAATTCTGTAGGTGTTAAACGTCTTAACTGCTTTGCATTGTTGTACTCATAGACCTGTAAGTGATTCCTGAGACAATGCTGTTTAAAGGAATTCACGTCTGGCGGCAACCGTGCGGTATCATATTGGTGTAATTGTCGCCACTTACTAGCCTAGCTTGAGCCAACGTTTTGCTTACGGGATCGTTATACAAAACTCTAATTGTTAATAATTCGAGATTAACAAAGAGCTATTCTGAAAATTCGTCAATAGAACCAAGCTGCTGTATTGTCTGAAAATAAATTGCATTATCTGAGTGAAGCAAACGTTTCATTGCAGTGACCTTTCCGAAACCAAAAAACCCTTCTACATAATCACAGCCGGTAAATGCATAAACACCAACAGCAACCCAGGCTTTGTCTAAATCTGAACATAGAGATCGACAATTAAAAAATTCTAAACCACTCGGGTATTTTTTGTACATAAACATATTCTGTTCAGTTAAATGGGCTAATGTATGAAGCAATAATCCACACAGCTGTGTCCTCAAAATCAAAAACAACGAAGTCAGAATCGCTCAGTTGTGCCGCTTGGAAAAATGCTCTTATATCCGCTTCAGATGGTGAGGATGCCTCAAATCTTGGATCACATTCGCCAGTTGTTAGGCTATAGCAAATTAGGTCTTTTGTGTAATACCAATCAGCAATATGATCAGCATTGACCCTCCCCATCAATCAGCATCGACCCATTCGTTTAAAATAAATTCTTGCAGTCTCCGTTTATTTTCCGATTTTGAAAGAAAAGAACTCACAAATTTACCTGTAGGCATTTTCTGGTCAGCCACAGAATATATATTTAGAACAGATCCGTACGATTGCATTCGGCGTTTCTGCTCTTGGTGCTTCACGCTGTCCATTAACACGTATATCATTGATCAGATGGAAGGCTACGGCTTGAGGATGGCGATTTTGCAGATATTTATAAAGATTTACGG